TATATATACTACATTAAATTTTAGACGTTTTTGTTATTTTGGAATTTTAAACGGTGAAGTGCAAAGAAAGCTGATGACGTCAACAGTAGTTACAATTCGAATTTAAATAACTAAATTAATATTATATATTAATGCTTGTGGTACACCACGTAGATAGTTCTGAAAAGAACTGTTATTGGTTGAGAATGTCTTATTGTATGTTCTGTTGAAATGCTTTAGGTGGAGAAAAAGCAAAAGGATTTGCTACAGATACAGAAGTACAGAACATTGTAGATCTGTTATCAGGTGGACACAAGTCTCCAGCCAAGCAACGCCAACATCCAAAGGTACACCCGGAAACGCTCATTGTAATAGCCAACCCAGAAAGCCAGGAGCGTCACACCTCTGGATGGGGCACGCAACAGATGAAAAATGCGCCAAAATACGGTAATTTTAACCCTCACTATCAGGAAGAGGACTACTCAGACAAGAGGTGGGCGAATTCTGGTATTTACGTCAGCCAGCCTTCCAAGATGCCTAAGGGTGTTGAACACACCGGAGAGCATGCAGAGTTTGCTCAGTATTTAGCCAACAACTTTTTCAAAAAGCATGGATTTACTGATGAGGGGCATGCGCTAAGCCTAGCATCACAGTGGAGTTCTAGTGAAAGAAAGATGAATAGAACTTGGCCTTCCGTAGATCCACCAGGTGATGGGTGAGTTCAATATGTGATATTATTCTTTGATATGCAAGCATATTTTTAAATAATTAAATTGAAATCCTTGGACTTCTACAATAGAAGGTCAGCAACTTGGCAGTTGTAGTATGTAGAAGTTATTCTTATTCTTATCCTTTATTGCCAAAGTCGGGAACAAACACAATGACAGTCAACTCAGGTAGCACTGCAGAGAGGAACATAAAAATGAACTAAATCACTGTAACAAAAGTTAAGGTTCTTTACTCCCAAAGTAACATTTGGCAATTCAATTAAACGAAAGAAGTGATGTGGGGATGAAAAATGAGAGGACTGCGCACTATTCTTGTAGAAAAAAAGAAGATATTGGACTGGTTAAACGAAATATACATTCATTTGTCCTCTGTTGCAAATTATAATACATAGATTGATTGCTATCAATCATCATTGTAACTGATTATATGTGTTAATAATAAATATTTAAAAAAAACACTTATGCAGAACTGACCAGATAAACAAAGTGAAGTGTTTAGATTGATATCTGTTTTATATGGTTTTATTTAAGGTCTGAAGTAAGCCATAGCTGGCCTATGGGACATGACTCAGGTAGTTCTAGTGATGAAGATGAATCAGCCTGTGGTGATACCTACTCCATGGGCCTGGGCTTATCAGGGCCAGGGCTAATGGCTTCAGTCAACAGAAGGTCAGTAAGAGAATGAAATTAGCTTATAACCACACTAAGACTGTCAGAGCTGAGCCTATGCTTTCACTTAGGGAGATCCCTACTCTTTCGAAACTAAAGCATATCATATACATAGAAACTAGGGAGTTAAGGAGGTTGTATGCTGTTTGTATAGATCAAACAACAAGGGATAATAACATTGTAAGTGCTTTGACGGGGTAATTGGATTTTAATAGACGCTATATATAAATAAACCTTGGCACAAACTGTGGCAATCGACAGTTAACCAACCATCGACAAACTCATCCGCACCCTATATGAGTGCTTTCCTGAAGGTTAGTCCGCTGATAGTTGAAAGCAGTTTGATCGAATCAATAAAATGATCTATCACACTACTTGCATCGTGTTTTCAAATCTCGGTAGATTCTTTCTTTCTTGAAAGGCATAATGTTTTTGTGATGGTAAATTTCTTGACCATTAATGAATGACTCATGTCCAGGAAATTGTTTCCATGGGGTTAAACTCGCTACAAACACTCCCAAAATTGGAGAATTACCAGGCAGTTTTTGAATTTGTCCAGCCTTCAAGACATACAAATAACCTGTGGAGTAAAGGTCTGTCCACAGTGGCATATCTTATAGCTTAAAATGGGGTGGCTGATGATGGCCAAAAAGAAGAAGTAGGGAGCTCAATAATTAGGTGATTGGGCGCCAGCTCGCAAAATAAGGGGATTTGAGGTGATTTTGAACAACTTGACCATGATTTTTGGGGGAGACTGAGAGTGCAGGGGTGGTGCGGGCGCCCAGGTTTTTTTAGATTCACCACTGTCTGTCCACGCTATTAACTTTTATGTAATAAAATGCCCATATTTGGGCATAGTCTGATGTCATCATGCCCATATATGGGCACATCAAACAAATTTGATAATGTGGGCAAAGCTTAAAATTATCCTCCATAATTGTTTCAAAATCCAAGTGTTTCCAAGTGAATTAAATAAGTTTTCAATTTGATTTGTATCATTATGAAACATAAGATATGATTGTTGTTAATCGTTTTTGCAGGCGGCATAGTAGTGGTGGAGAGGAGAGTTTACATATTCCAGCGGTTTTCAATGCAATGGGTGAACCACCTGCTCTGAAATATCCCACTGCTCTTCTGGATGTTCAGTTGGTATGTTGGTATAATGTGCAGGCAATCTTTTAAGAAATTATTTAGGGATATGAACCAAGTATAAATAATAGCAAAATTAATCACTATCTTACATAATTTCTAAAGGGAAATGTCAGATTTTATGTGACAATAAACTATGATATGCCCATATATAGGTGTAATATGACATCTTTATACCCATATATGGGCACATCAAATTAATTTGTCACATACAATTTGATAGTGTAGACAGGGCTTTAGAGAGTGAGGATGTTTTTGGTAGTCCATCAGTAAGTATGTGTGTTAAGTATGTGTTTACACACATATTTCACAATAGAATTTCACTATATTATACATTAGTCAAATTATGCAGTCTAATAGAGGGATTTAACGATGATTGTTTACAGGCGGTCACGTGACCTAAGATGGGTATGCATGATAATCATTACAGTGCGATAGCATAGGAAAAGATAATGTTATGGTTGCAAACAACCACACAATGTTAACGTGAGAAGTAAATGGAAAGGCAATACGATTGTTGAAAACAGTGTTTATTTACTTATCCAAGCATTCCCCTTGGATTGTATGCTTTGAAATTTAAGTGGTCCGTCATAAACCTTAGCTGGCACTAACATCGCAGCGTAGTTCGCGAGTCAAACACCATCATGCATACCTAACCATGTCGTAGATGTGCAGGCGCCCAGGCCAAACATTAGTCGAAAAATCTCAATGTTTGTGGCCAGTATCCTTTACAGCATTAGCTAAACTTATGGCAAAATTCTTAAAATTTAATTTCCAATCAATTTGGTATAGTTTACTTCAAATTATGTTGATCTTTACTGCAATGAACAAGGGACGGCCATGATAGAAATCTCCATGTAAAATGCCACTATTTCAGTGGATTGTTTTTATACAACACCCAAGTTAAGTCATGTGACACCCATTGCTAAATCCCTCTATTGAAGACCTGCTCATACGTCTTACTGTTGTTGAAAACATCTGGATGGTGGAGGAGGATGAATATAGAAAACAATGGTGAAAATATCAAAATATGAGAATGGTACCATACTGTACTTTGATCATAAAATGTATTTTATAACACGCATGTCTCCTTTACATTTTTCAGGATCCGAAGTCGGTGCGAACTTGGCCTCCTAAGAACGTCTGGCAACGGCCTTCCTCTCCACAACCACCAAACAACAACCAGTACGTAGTTAATCAACAGGAGCAGTTGGACGTCCACCGACCCCTACAAGCACAGTGGAGCGATCCGCTATCGGTGCGTCACTCAAATGTCTGGGGACCGGCAACAGGGTCGACCCCTGTCTCACCTGCATCATCCTTCACCTCCCTGAATACACCTCAGGCTCATGGACAGCGTCCGAAGTCAACAAGTCCCAGGCCCCATCCACGCTTAGATAGGAAGTATGCTTATAATGTACATCAATTCCAATCTCGATAATATTGGACTTGCAAGTTATTGTAAAGTCCTCTTCCAGCAGGATCAGAGAAACTTGGCTTTGCCAAACATCTGGTCTCATTATACAAAGCAATATTATAAACATTCAGTTAGCACAAATGTGTATGTATAGTTATAAAATTCCAAGTAAATTATTAAACGCATGTACTGTATGTAGACTTACGAAATGCAAAAATCTCTTGATCTTACAGCAGTAGTATTATTAGTAGTAGTAGTTCATAGGCCTAGGCCTTCTCCCTTGTAATATATGAACTTGGCTCTTACTCATTCGAGTACCATTCCTAAGTCATCCTTCTCGCAGTAGGATGTCCACACTCATCAAGGTGAAAGATGAGGCATAGGCTGAAAAGTAGAAATTAAGCTTGCAAATTGAAAAGATGACTTTTAATGATGCATTGCCAATGATTCTATCCCTCATACCTTTAATAATATAAAAATTTAAGCAATTGCAAAGAAATAGAACAAACATTAAGATGGAGATGCAAAAATGGTAACTGATGTTATTCCAATTTGTTAATCCTTTTCTCTTCCTTTGTTCTTTCCTCCCTCTTCCTTTGCTTTTCCCTACATTCCTTTTTTTCTGTTGCCTTATTTTGTCAGAAAATGTATTTCAGCTTAAAAAAAGCAGGTGTGCATATCAGTTGGCCTTGTTTTAATTTTGGTATCCAGGGACTAATCTGATTAGTGCTGATCCTATGCCATAGTTTCATAGTCTGGCCAAGTAGCTAGGCACTTGCCCTGGGGTTTGGTGTGAACCTACTTCAAAGCATTGAATGTATATTGATTTCTCTGGGGTACATTAATTGTGCTAAATAACATGTCTGGATGAAATCTTGACTACCTTATTCTTGTATACATGATGTATAAATTTATATGATGATTGAGTATTGTGTTGATAACATTCATAGAAATACAGTTGAGCTGTAGTGAAAGTGTGGGGGTTTCCATATTTGATTTCCAGGGGGAACTACAGTCACTGCCCTTTTAATGCAATTTCAAAGATTTAATTTCAATCTCCATGCCTGTAATACATCATGAGCCAAGGGCCTCTGAAGTGTTTCTTATAAGTTAATAGTTATCTGACATAATGAATATAATACACAGAATTGAGCTGTCTGCCAATTTTTTTGCATAATTTTTAAGCAATCACCAGCAAAGTTCGCATAACGTATAGCGAAAAACTATAGTTATTTATAATGAATAAGAAATGTAGCTGCATTAGTCTAAATTACTGCAATTTGACAACAGAACTCAGCATTTTCGGTTTTGTTATCCATTTAAGAACTGTTAAAGGAGCTTTTTTCCGAATCCTTCACTTCCTACCATATGCCTACTTACACTCTTTAGTTCTGAGCTGTTATTGGTCGTAATAATTATAAGAAATACACTTCTTGGTATTTTTTTGTTGTAAATATTTGCCTTTTTTTAGGACTGTGTTTTTTTGCAGGTAGGGAATTAATTATTTTTGAAATGTAAATTAATATCTGATTTAATACAAGAAAATTTTAAGAAAATCAAATCAATGATTTGCAAGTGTGTCTACGAATCTAAAGAACATTTTAATTTTTGTTTCCATGGAAACTGTAAATAACTGAATGTAAGGCTTGCAAAGATTGTAAGTTTTTTCAAATTATAATATTAATATTATTCTTATTTAAATCCAAATTTAGGTATGCGTCACCTGAACTTGTGTAAATTTCATCTGAATTTGTGTACATGTCATTTGATCTTGTGTACATGTCGTCAATGCTTGTGTACATGTCATCAATGCTTGTTCACTTGTTCGGTGAAAAAACCTTTGTACATATTTGAAATATATTTTGGAAATTTAACATCTTTGGTATCAGTACATATCAAACATATCCTGTACAATTGTTTTGTGTTTTTGGTTGTAAAGTAGACAAGTATTTGTTCTCTTTTCATTTCTCTCATTTTATTTGTAATGCTTGTCAATTTTATAATATTATAAATTGTTTTTTATGACCTCATTCTGATGACCTTGTGTTTGCAGGCAAACATGACATCATTTTGACTTTCTTTTTTATACGTATGTATTTTGGGATTTTTATTGTTTTATATCCAAGGGGAAAATAATCCTGTATCAGAAAAGATCATTCTTACATTTATGTGAAATTGAATCACTTTCCTTATTATTTCTTTTTTACTTATTTACTTTTTAAAAATGGTTCAGAGAGAAATTTGCAAATTCTTAAAACCGTAGAAATGTGGCACAGGGAACAATATTTTTTAATCTGGTGACTTCTTTTTATAATGGATGGATTGCTTTCTTTAAGGCCACACTAGGAAGATTCCCCACTTGTTTTCTATCTCTTGGTGACTGTTAATCCTGGGTATTTTAAAATCATTTTTCATCTGCAAACATTTTCTATGTAAACTCTTAATTAACACCAGTACTATTAGCTTCAGGTTTAAGATTTTTTGAAATAATTTGTTGGTTTGGAAATTTCCAGCCTAACATATTATAAGCTGCAATGTTGCAGCTTGGTTACTTTCATAGTGAAGTAGATTAAGATATTCTGTGCTAAATTGGTCGTTAATCGGCACTTTTAAGAAATCTCAGTTCACCCTATTTATTTTATGTCAGAAGTTTTTGTGATGTGCCCATATATGGGTATGGTGATGTCATATCACATCCAAATATAGGCATATCACATTTGTTTGTCACATGAAATTTGATAGTGTGCACAGAGCTTTAAACTTTGGGATTAAAAAATAAACATGCTTATGATTATAATGAGCAGAGGTATGATTAATGTTATTTTTTAAAATTTACATTTATTATCAATGTATTTCTTTATTTTCTTACTATATGACAATTTTAATTTGATGCAAACTTTGAAAGTCAAGGTTGTCCATTCCTTGTTATGTCACAAAGGGTATAACTACCAGTGTCATATTGAACTTTACCCTAAAAAGAAGATAGGAATAAAATCAAATTCTGTTAGCTCCTACCTTCCTTTCCATATTTGTTTTATACTTCACACAGTGCTAATACTAGGGCGCTTTCGATTGCACGTGGAGGACATAATGACGTCACTGAGAATTTATCTGTGCATGCGAGAACTTAAAGTTCTTTTCATCGCGTAGATTCTAGACTGCAATTTGACAAAATCTACATTGTGCAGAGAACGTAGGATGTTCACGCACGAATGAATCCGTCTAAGGTCACATCATCACGCAAAACCGAAAGCTCCCTAATTACAAATTTGTTGTTTTACAAACAAGAACGTCCACCATTCGTTGATTGAAACCTTAACTGTTTTGAAACAAATTATTTAAAAAAAAGTGTTCTTTATGATTTTAATTATTTACAACTATTATGTCCAAATATTTATAATGTTCCCCCAGTATTATGTTTCTCCACTTTTTTAATTTAAGATATTTATTATAAAATTTACTGTTCTGTTACGTGACTTGTCTAAGCATAGATGTAGACGTTCGTGTTACTTTAAAGGTCTCTCCATCCTTGTATCATTGGAAGAAAAGTGAGAATAAAAGAAAGAAAAAAAATTTAAGCACTGTATGCCAAACAAGCTCAATTTTCAATTTGATTTTAATTCAAGCATTTGTAAACTTAAATCGCAACGCCCCTTCCCAACTCGTTGCTTCGAACGTGGCATGGCCCACCATACTCAGATTTTTCTCTGGATCCACCCCTACATATCAACTATATGTTAAAATCAAATGTAAAACTTGAAAATCTAAACAGATGAACTTGTTGCAAATATTCACTTGGAGATCTCAGTGCTCTAAATCAAGTACAATACATTGCGGTTTGGGTAATTTTGTTTTTCAATAATTACAAAGGTGCTAAGAAACGTGTTAAAATGTGTGTGTGTAAGATATTATGTTTCATTTTGGTCTGTAACTGATATACTTTTCAAAACATTGTATGCATAAATGTGTACATGTCTTGTTACCATGTTTATGTACTGACACAGTGTTAAATGGGTATAGGGATTTGTAACCCTAACATGGTTATAAAATTTTATTGGTTATCAGTATGATATTTTATTCCCAAGAGTATGAATATTTTGCAATGAACGAAATTCCTGAAGCATAAATTTAAATAACAGCCCGTAGCTCCTGACAGTAGCATCTAAGCATAAGATGGCACGGGTTGAACGTTAGGTGGGTCCGGTAAGCTCTTTGCGAGCGGGCATTGAAAACGATAATCCAACTATTTAGATGATTGGGTAAAAAAAAATCTCTTTAAATGTCCCATTCCAAAATTCAATCCATAGTTAAAGAAAAAAACATTCCTTTGTAGGTTGATGGCCTTATAATTGTAATAATAATACTACAACTGGTAAAGCGCACATAACCACTGCAATCCTGAAAGCGCTAAAAATATTTTAGGGGTTTAAATATTTTAAAAGCAATAAAATGATATTGGTTCTAGGTGGGAAAAAGGAAAATATTTGAAAACAAAGCAATAATCACTGTATTAATGAGATCAGTGAAATACCCTATTCAGACTACACTCTCTTGCGATCGGTTGCGATGTAATCGGTGGTAATCCAAAACTGATTACTCCCGATCGCAATCAACAAACGCATTCAGACAAACACAAACAAACTTTACATTCTAGGGCCTAGGCCTCCAGGAGTAATAAAGATTGTAGCACCCAATCACAACGGGTAACAATTGCGATATCGATTACATATCGACTACTATTGGTGAGCTTTCACACACAGTTTTACTTTGCGATTGGGTGTCGCAATTGCTACAACCGATCGCAATGCGATGCTAGTCTGAATGGGGTATAAGTGGGGTATAAGTCAACTGCTTATATATTAATTTCTTTCAATGTTGGGTTTAAACAGAGGCATACAGTGTTTGGAAATCAAATGGATACATTCCAAGCTCAGGATCTAAGTCTATTACTCGAATACTTAGATGATAAACTGCCATTATCGCTTAGTTAGAAACCATTAAAAAATGATAAAAGAATGACCATGCTTACTTGATTGCATGGAAGTTATTCTCCAACTCTGTCAAGATAATAAGAAAAAGAGTGTAATTTACTTTTCAGAGTTGTAGTTTAGTTTCTGTGAGCTTTCGATGACATCTCGTCATCTTCGTCAGCCGTTTGAATCTGGCGGTTAACTGACTGTTTGCATGCATGTACTGTTCTCTTTGATAGGATGATTCTATTATTTTGTAGGGGTGATGCTAGCAATAGTCATTTATTCAGGTACTCATAAAAACATAACTACGGATTTATGATTTACTAGAATGACATCCACAAAATCTCAAATGATCCTCGCCAGGTAACTTGTGTACGTGGTTGGTTATTTTATACGATGTTCAAATCTTTGTGGTACGCTTTTCTACTTATCTGTTCGCCCTTTTGTTTTTATATGTATGGTCACAATGAGAACACAAATTGAAAAAAAAAGTTAATTCTACACCACTGGGTTTGTACGGTCGGATGTTAGGTCTTTTTTGCCAATATACTCCAAAACCTCAATGATACAATGTTTCCAACTTGCATAGTTGCAAGTGGCCATTGTGCCATGTTTGTTTATTTATTTTCTGATGTTGTTTTAAGAATGATTTAAGTGTAGAATTACCGATGATATATATTAATTTGTAGTTTTAACACATGTTGGTTTACATATTTAGACCTATAGAAATTAGAATAGTTTGATTTGCTCGTTTAGACATTTTAAAAAAAAATTTAAATATATTTTTACTCTGCAAATTGTTGTACTGAAATACTTGATCAATCATTAAATCTGTCATGATAACTATGCTTACAGTATTGTCTGTAATTTTATAAACTGTATTTCACTGCAACCAATATTAAAGGTCTATAAAATGCATCTGATACTGTACAATATGTGGTTGGTTAGTTTGTTTATTATGCCTTGAATTTAGTTATAGACAGTTAAGATTACAAGAGAGGGATTATTATTCTCATTTTTTAAGGTGTTTTTTTTTTCTTGGGTGCACTGGTAATTTATTAGAAGGGTTGGTTTTTGGAACATTTTAAGACATTATATGTTTTTGTTTGATAAATGGTTGGTGTTAACCAATGCAAATTTTGATGCTTATTTTGTTTTTAAGAAATAAACAATATTGGAATTACTAAATAGCTTTGTGGTCAGTTCTACTCTGTCTCTTGTATAATTATAATAGTAAGTTGTTGAGAAGGTATTGAGGATCATATTCTGACGATGATGATGGTGATTATGGCAACAGCATTGATGACATGGACAATAACAGGAGTGGTGGTGATTATGATGGTAGGTATTTTTTTAGTGAATAGCTGGATTCTTTCAAAATCAGGAGGTTTTTATAGATCAATGAGAAGATGATTTTAAAGACCATTCAGAAGGCGAATATTGGGAGCACCCGGATGGTTGTTACTATAATCATGGTTTAAATCTATTTATTCCTCCATGGGCTAATCATTCTTATTTTGATTGCAGCATTGGTAGATTTTTCTTCAATTTAAAAAAACTTTTTGTGATATGACTTCATGGTAAGTAAGGACATACGATGTGGATCTGATTTCTAAACATCACCACCCCAGTTCAGGGAAAGAAACCCCCTTCCAAATCCATGCAGATTCCCATGGTGATAGATCAAGAACATCCCCACCCTTTTTCTAATTGTAATATCCAGTACTCTTGCTGTGCTAAAAAGAACTCAGTTATATAATGCTGCCCTCAAGAGTTACATTTATTGAAATTTTCCAGACGATACCAAAGATTATACTAATTTTTGAGAAGGTTCTGACGGCACTTCCGTGTGTGATAGGTACTTTTATTTGTTTTATTGCCCTATACCTAAATGCCATGGTAATATTTCAAAAAGTAAGTACTGTATATCGAATTTTTTGTTTGATTTTACCGAATAATACATGTAACTTTTTTTTTTAATAGTAATACGTCGGATCCACTGAAACGAAGTCAAAGTTTAGTACCCCTTCTCATCATCTTACATTGCCTCATCACACTAATTGGACCTGTGTCCTATTTCATTTATAAAACGTCTTCCATTGGGCCTGGCCCGGGCCCTAGGTGTATACTTATCAGAAACCTATCTGTAATATTCCTGTTTTATTTGATGCACAATCATGACGTGGACGCCGGGTATCATCAGGTAGATATCTTCCTGAAAAAAAATTGTAGACCTTTGATTTCATTTTACTAATTTGAATGAAGTATCCTCATTTAAATGGTGGTTTATAAAAGACAAATCATGGTTTAAACAATGGTTTGTAGAAGACAAACAATGGCTTGTCTTTTTTCCATGTGGTTCGAGACTTGCGTCCTGCATGGCATTAAAGACACTTTATCTTCATTGGCCTACCCAGGAGTATGGTACCTGGTAGGAGGTGAATGATTTGGAATGTAATTTAGTAGTAGTGCTGATTACATGCATAGAATACTCCCCGGGGGGTGGGGTGCGCTGAGCAGGGGGGTTTGCGCTTGTAGGCCTGAGCTGAGGCATATAAATTTGTAGGCGCTCTTTACTAGAACGCTGCCGTAAATTGATAAAACTGCTCAAAGAGAACCCCTGAAAACACCCTTTTTTACAGCCTTTTCTACCATCTTTGGAACTGCTCATCAGATCAATTTCCTTCTTTTTTAAAATAAAAGATCTGTCTTTCATCCTTCTAATGAGATGAAATGAAACAAGATGGATTTATGTTTTATCCCGTCACTTTTTGATTAAACGA